CCGACCCAGCACCCCCAGACCCAGCACCTCCAGGCACAGCACCCCCCGGCTCAGCACCCCCAGGCTCCGCACCCTCCGCAGTAGCACCCTCAGGCCCAGCACCCCCAGCAGTAGCACCCCCAGGCTCAGCACCCCCGCGCACATCACCCCCAGAGTCAGCACCCCCAGGCTCAGCACCCGCAGCAGCACCAGAGTCACCAGTAACCTCGACCGGGTCAACGGCGTCTACCTGGGACACACCTGAGGGGGCAGGAACCTGAGGGGGGAGGGGGTCTACCGGGGGGGGAACCGGCACAAGGAAGTCCGGGGGAGGGGGGAGGGAAGGAGTGCGGTAGGGGAAGAGACGGTAGAAGGGGACTGACTCGTCGAACGTGACGTCCTGGGAGGACAGAACACGACGAGAGGAGGGGTGGTAAAACTGCCACCCTGGGGCGTCAGTGGGGAAGCCAAGGAAGACACAGGGAGCAGCACGAGGGGACAGCTTGTCCGCAGACAAGTCGCGGACAAACGCCCGAGATCCCCAGACACGGAACACAGACGCATCGCCAACCTTCCCCGTCCACAGCAAGGCTGGGGACATCGCAGGCCGAGAGACCCGGGGGTGAAGGTTGAGCTGATGCGCCGCGTACCTCACCGCAAACGGCCACAGAAAATGGGGGGCAGCCGCATGCATCATGGACGTACGAGCGACATCCATGACCATGCCAATGCGGCGCTCAGCAATCCCATTTTGCTGTGGTGAGTCCGGAAGCGTGAAGGTCTGGCGGATCCCCCGTGCACGACAGTAGTCTCGCAGAAGGCGAGAAGAGAACTCTCCGCCTCTGTCAGAGTGCAGACGCAGAACAGGAAAGTCCGAGCCGAAGCTCTTCCTGAGCTGGAGACGAGCCTCGCGGATCCAGTCGATCAGCACCTCAGTGACCTCACCCTTGCTGCGCAAGGGGAGGACTGTGGTGTAACGCGAGTAGTCGTCAACCACCAACAGGAAGTAGCGCTCGTAACCCTGCCCACGGACGGGGGCTGGGCCCCACACATCCATGTGAAGCGTCTGCAGGGGAGCCTCTGTCGGGGGGAAGTGGGAGGAGTGAGGAGTAGCCCGGAGGCGACCCTCGACACAGGGGACACAGGAAGGTCCTGGCCCGGAGGGGAGAGGAGGGAGAGACTGGGGAAGACCAGAGACAAGGACACGGGAAGCCATGCTCCGAAGACGGGGCAAGGAGGGGTGACCAAGACGGTGGTGCCACAGGAGAGTCTCGTGAGACAGGAGGCGACAAGTACAGGGGGCAGACTCAGGACCAGACCTGGACGCAGCAGCAAACACCTGACCCGACGCTGCTACCTGACCGGACGCGGGGACAGGAGGAGACTCAGTGGTCAGGGTGTAGAGGCTCGACCCCGGCCGACGCGAGAACGTGGCCAGGTGCCGGCCTGTGCGTGCGTCCGTGCAGTGGGTCACCCGCTGACTCGCAGGAGTGAACTGGTGAACCCCCGCATCCTGTAGGTCTGCACCACTCACCAAGTTCGTCGAGAACGAGGGGAGGTACAGGCCAGACAGGGTGCCCGAGGGGGCAGCCGGACACGGGAGGACAGTGGAGAAGTGAGCGAGGACAGGACCCCCAGAGGGGTCAGCCAGGGAGACTGCAACCGGCCGACCAAGCGGCGTGAGTGTGGTGCGGTCCCGAAAGAAGGAGCGAGAAGCCCCAGAGTCAAGTGTAAAGGTGAGGGAGGCCGAAGCCAACGCGGTACCTGAGAGGGCAGCCTCACCCGCACCTGAGGAAGCAGACTCACTAGCACCTAGAGCAGCAGCCGCACCTGTACCTGGAGCAGGAGACTCACTAGCACCCAGAGCAGCAGCCTCACCAGTAGCTAGAGCAGCAGGTCCTATACCTGGGTCAGGCGGGACGTACAGGTGACCGGCACTGTCAGCACTAGTAGGCAATGCATACATGGCAGTGAGAATAGCATCATAGTCAAGAGCATATATATCTACCCTCTGCCTAAGTAACTCCACCCAGTCGGGAAGCTCAGCCTCGTCGCCAAACACGGTACGCCAGGCGTCGCTCAGACGGGCGAAGCAGCGGGACGGTGTATGACTACGTGTCCCACAAGGCTGACCAGTCCGAGTACCAGTGCGAATCACGTAAGAGCAGCGAACAGCACTGAGAGACCCTCCACTCTGAGCGTACCACTCACGAAGCTGGCGAGGCGTGAGAGACACGCGAGAGGGTCGCGGGAGCTGCATCTGGCCGCCACCACGAGTAGAAGCAGCAGGAGTGGTAGTAGGAGTAGCGTCGCCACCCCTACAGCCCCAACCAGCGTACCACTCACGCAGCTGCTGGGGCGTGAGGGACTCACGCCGGCGTCGCTGGGGCTGCATGTGGCTCCGCAAGTAGAAGCAGGTGCAGGACTAGCAGCAGGGAGGCAGGCAGCCAGGCAAGCCAAAAGGCAGGCAGGCAGGCAAGCAGGCGACGCGCAGTGTGCGAGCAGGGCAAGAGCTCACCAGTGGTGGGAAGAGTAGGCTCGGCGACCCAGCGGCTCGGCAGCTCGGGCGACTCGGGCGGCTCGGCGGCAAGGCGGCTCAGCAGCAACTGCAGCTCAGCAGCTCGGTGACTCGGCGGCTCGGCGGCAGGGCGGCTCGGCAGCAACTGCAGCTCAGCAGCTCAGCGACCCGGCGGCTCGGCGGCAGGGCGGCTCGGCTGTGGGGCGGCTCGGCTGCTGCAGGTGAGCGGCTCGGCTGCTGCAGTGGGAGATGAAGGAGGAGGAGAAGCAGGGGAGGCCACACACCTGCCACCCCTCTGCTGCGGCCCCCGAAGGAGCCGCGACGGGCGACGGGAAAAGGGGGGGTGGGTGGTGGGGGGCCGGTAGATGCAGCGGCGGGGCCAGCAGGTGGAGTTGCGGGGCCGGTAGAAGGGGACGGCAGGAGCCGTCAGGAGGGGACGGCGGGGCCGTCAAGAAGGGACGGCGGGGCCGTCACGAAGGGACGGCGGGGCCGTCAGGAGGTGACCGGGCCGCGACGGGGGCAGGCGGCGGGGCCGCGTAAGGGCCTGGGCGGGGCCGCGACAGAGCCGTCGGCGGGGCCGCGTGAAAGCCGGGGCGGGGCCGCGTAGAAGCCGGGGCGGGGCCGCGCGAGAGCAGGTGGCGGGGCCGCGAAGGAGCCGGGGCGGGGCCGCGTGAGAGCAGGCGGCGGAGCCGCGTAAGGGCCTGGGCGGGGCCGCGACAAAGCCGTCGGCGGGGCCGCGTGAAAGCCGGGGCGGGGCCGCGTAGAAGCCGGGGCGGGGCCGCGCGAGAGCAGGTGGCGGGGCCGCGAAGGAGCCGGGGCGGGGCCGCGTGAGAGCAGGCGGCGGAGCCGCGTAAGGGCCTGGGCGGGGCCGCGACAAAGCCGTCGGCGGGGCCGCGTGAAAGCCGGGGCGGGGCCGCGTAGAAGCCGGGGCGGGGCCGCGCGAGAGCAGGTGGCGGGGCCGCGAAGGAGCCGGGGCGGGGCCGCGTGAGAGCAGGCGGCGTAGCCGCGTAAGGGCCTGGGCGGGGCCGCGACAAAGCCGTCGGCGGGGCCGCGTGAAAGCCGGGGCGGGGCCGCGTAGAAGCCGGGGCGGGGCCGCGTGAGAGCAGGCGGCGGGGCCGCGACAGAGAGGGCGGCGGGGCCGCGTCAGTGAAGGCGGCGGGGCCGCAGGGGAAATGGCGACCCGAGGGGTCGCTAAAAAAAAGATCGCGCCTCGGGGGGCGCTTCGGTGGGCCCAAAAAAAAAACGGTCCGTAGAAGGACCCGCTCTATACCATGTGAGAATAAGAGAACAGGGAATGAATGAACTAGCAGTGAAATGAGTACAAGTAGGAAACCCTAGAATTGTGTACCCCCTATAGGCTAACCCACTGTAGCCTACACAAGCATAACATATATAATGTTTGACAAGAACTATATAGCGAAGGCCACCGTGGTAATGGTAATGAACTGTGGGTGACGCGCGACGGGCCTGGAACTGAGGTTGGGACTGTGGTTGGGGAATGTCGAGGCGGAGGCCCGGATCGCGGGTTACCCGCCAAGCCGTGGGGTCGGGGTGCGACGTGCGAAGATGGCGGGAGGATTGTCGAAGCGAGGGTTGCGAGTGGTAACGGTGCTGACCGTGGTGCTATAGTGATGTATGCGCTAAGGAGGGATGCGGCGTAAGGAAATGGAAATTTCCTTTCAATCAAATTCGTTAATGTTGGTGTTTAGACACCTAGACACCTTGCAGGCAGATCAAGGGACCTTGACCGGTTGAGTGGCGGTTTGAGAGGTCTTGGTTCCGCGCACGTCCAACCAAAGTGAGTGAGACTAACCCCCTCGCACCGCAACCGCAACGCCTAGAAGTGGAGCCACTGTTTGCGCGTTGGGCGGAGGTCATTCCGCCCAGTAAACACCCGCCCACAGGCCACGTCCGCCCAAGCCATTCTAGTGTACAGTACTGGCGGGACGCACACCACCCGATTCCAGATTCCGCTCGCCTTTCTGCTATGGTGATAATCCAAACTTATTCGTGATTGGCTGAACGCTGTGGGTCAGCCACGCGCAGGCTGTCAGAGATGATGCCCCACTCGGTGATTCTCTCCGCCTTTTCAGCACATCACCCTCCCCGCTGCACACTCGGGGAGCAACAAGGGGAAATGGGAGTACTTCCGCCTCTTGACGTTGCGTTGTGTGTTACAGCAACAGCAACCTTCTCCCCTTCCCCCGTCTAGGCTCTAGATTCCAGGTGTTACGTGGAAGAGGACGAGGAGGCGTCCAGATGGAAACGATATCAAGGCTGGTCTCATGTCTCCTCCATCTAACGAACAGTCTCCCCAACAAGCTGCAGCTGCGTATGTGGCTTCCACACGTTTCTCTCCTCCACCATGACGTTCCAAGCAACTAGGATTCGTCCGTCTCATACGGAAACAGCTCCCTTAGCCCTAAATCCGTGACTCTCATTAGCTTAGAATCTCGTATGTCCTTCAATCCCTATCTTTATCGTCTCTTTCTTAGCAACGATCATGGCCGAAGCGTTCGGCCATGGCCATCCGTTCGATATAATGGAAGCCCTAGAAGAGGCGGAGCTCACAGGAACCGCCCATCGGACTCATTGCGCCACGGCCTGGGACCCCAACGCCTGGGAATGGGACAGCCTTATGCTGTTACCTCACCCCACCGGTACGAGCCTCCCCACATCGACTACCGAGTCCTCCTACTTTCCGCTTGCACCGTCTAATACCCAACCGCACCACGAGTCGCAGCATGAATCCCCGTTAGACTCCCATTCGCAAGCATTCCCTTCCCTGTTGGAATCCGCTGCGCACGCCTTATCCGCTAAGAACGCCGACGCGGATCTTGCGAACCCCGCGGGGATATTTCCGCAGCTCGATCTAGCCGTCAGTAGAGGCCTCGCGCTACTTACAGGCGAGGACGAGGGGTTAGAGGTAGGAGAAACGGCCGGGCTCGGCCCGAAGAGAAAGGAGCAGCCGCCAACCGCGGCGGATTCCGAGTGCCCTAATTTCAGAGCGGGTAGGGTGCCTTGCCAGTGCACGCAGGCCGACGCGCAGCTCGCCGTGAAGCGCCAGCGGTTCCACGGCCGCGGAGGGGCGTTCCCAGGCGCGCGCGCGTCGTCGGGGCGCAAGGGGGATAAGGGCGCGCGGAAACGCGGAGCAGACGCGGAAGCGGCGGGGTCGCAGGCGACCGGGGGGTCGGGTAACCTTCGATGCCAAGTGGACGGCTGTGATGTGATGCTGTCGACCCTGCGCGAGTATCATCAACGGCATCGGGTGTGCGAGGCGCATGCCAAGGCGGGATCGGTGGTCCACGAGGCCATTGTTCAGCGCTACTGCCAGCAATGCGGCCGGTACGTTTCCCCGCCTCTACCTGCCCCCCCGCCCATTCCACCTCCCCTCTCGCCGCCCATTTTCGATTCTCCTGTCTGCTTTCGCCACCGTGGCTTCATTCCTATCGCCACCGTCTCCCGCAGATTCCATCCTATCGGCGATTTCGACGAGGCTCGTCGCAGCTGCCGTCGCAAGCTGCAGCGACACAACAACCTGCGAAAGCACAAGGCGCTCAAGCCGCCCACCCCCGCCGCTTTCCCCCTCCCGCCGTCCCCGCCCAACACGACCGCGGACGAGGGCGCGTCGCCGGAGAAAAGCAGCAGTGGCGGAAGCGGAGGCGACGGCGTTGGCGGAGAAACCGGCGCGGCGTCGGGGGAGGCGGAGACTAAGCGGAACGTTGTTGCAGGGGCATTAAGAGAGCGGGCGAGCGACGGGATTGCCCTTGGCGGAGGAGGGGGAGGAAACTCGAGGGGGATGGGGGTTCGGGAGGCGGGGGAAGAGGTGAAGCAGAAGCTGTCTTTGGTGGCGGACGGCGCGGTTTCGCCGCATGGCGCTCGTAACGCGGACGTGTCCGCGTCTGCTTCTATGCATAGCGACTCTGGGGACAGCAATGGCACCGGGGGCGCGAGGGGTGCGCTGGGGCAGGCCCGAGGGAAGGGGGACGGCGGAGCGCAGGAGGGGGGAGGAATGGGGCAACGGCATCAGGTGGAAGGCGAGTGGCGTAGCGGAGGAAGCGGTGGTGCTGCCGGACGCTTGTGTCACTCCCTCCCTTCTGTCGCTCCCTCTCCTGCTGCTGCTGACCCACCTGGTGCTGTTGCTACTGCGGCTGTTACTACGCGCACGGCTCCTGCCAACACACCACTGGCTCGTTTCGCACCGCCTCCTCCTTCCCCCGCGACTCCCCCCCTCGCTGGACCTCTTTCCTTCACACCCGTTCCCCCCTTCCCCGATCCTCCCCCTCAATCCACCCTCGACCCTGTGTGCCCCGCCCGCACACCTACGCCTGCGCCCCCTTCCGCCTTGCGCCAAACCTCCGCAGTTTCCCCCACACGTGCGCCGACGCCCCTGCTGTCGCTCCCAGTTCTGCGGGACCGTGCGGGGGCTCGCCGCGCTGATGCTCCGGGTAATACTGCTCCTGCTGCTGCTCCTCCTCCTCTCCCTCCTGCTGCCTCCGCCGCTGCTGCTGCTGTAGCTGTTGCCGGTGTTGGTGCTGGCAGCGACGTAAACGGTGCTTGTGGCAACGCGTCGTCCCTCGCGCCAAGTGCCGTCGCTCTGCACTTGCAGAACTCATCACCGCCTCGCGTGGCCAGCGGTGTCGGCGGATGTGAAGGAGGAGGCGGAGCAGGAGGAGGAACAGGAGAACGAGAAGGAAGGGAAGCAGCTATTGCAGAGCAGGCAAAGCAGGCAGAGGGTGCTGTAAGGGCTGTGGCCGCTGTGACAAGACCAGGGAAGCGACCGGCCAGCACGCGCATACCAGCAACAGCGGCTGTGCCAGCGGCAGAAGCAGGAGGGGTGCCTGTGAACGGCGCGGCGACAAACAGCAGGCAGCGGGCGCGCGGAGCGGAGGGGGAGAGGGAGTGCGGGGGAGACGGGGAGGGTGAGGGGTCGACGGGCGTGGTGGTGGGACAAGAAGCCGCAGGCGGAAGCTGCGCGGGTAGCGCGCGGGAGAGGGCTGCGGGGAAGCCGCGGAAGGAGGGGAGGGGTTCGGTGGCGGGGGGGAAAGAACACGGGGAAGTTGGAAAGGAAGGTTGCGCGGGGATGGGGAGTGGGCCGATGCAGGGGGTGGTAGGGCTGCCGGTTAGTGCCGCAGGTCCCCAGGGGCCTCATAAAGGCATGGGTATGGGGATGGGGGCCATGAGCATGGGCATGGGTATGGGGATGGGTATGGGAAACATGCCTATGGCGATGGGCATGGGCATGGGCATGGGTCCGTATGGTATGGGGATGGCCCCTTATGGCATGCCGATGGGTATGGGCCCAGGGGTGGGAATGAGCATGCCGCCTGGTATGGGCATGCCCATGGGCATGGGGATGGGGATGGGGATGGGGGTAGGCATGGGCATGAACATGGGAAATCCGATGGGGGGGATCCCGGGTGAGCATGCCATGCCACCCGTGCCTATGGGTATGGCCATGGGTGCCATGGGTCCGGGCATGAGCATGGGTCCCGGTGTGGGCATGGCTGTGTTTCCAGGCATGGGCATGCCCCATGGTCATGGGTACATGCGCGCGCATGCTGCTCCTGGTCCTGGCCATGCACATGGGCATGCGCCTGGCACGGGTATGGGTACGAGCGCAATGCACGCAGCACGCATGGTCGGAGCAGTCGCGGCAGGAGCAACGCGAGGAGGTGGAGCAGGAGTAGGAGCAGGGGCAGGTGTAGCAGGGGCGACGGCAGGAGCGGCATCAGAGGCAATGGCGCCAGCATCAGCAGCAGTGCCGTCGGAATCGCAATCAGGGCCGATGGAGGAAGCAGAGAGACAGCCACTGCAGCAGCATCACCACCACCACCAGCACCATCAGCAGCAGCAGCAGCAGCAGCAGCAGCAGGAGGCCGTCCCGTGTGCAGGGGCAGCAGGCGGCAGTGCAGTGCAGGGCACGAGTGAGTCGAACACAGGGAAGGAGGTCCAGTCATCCGTTGTGAAGGGCGCGGGCGGATTCACTGCCGACGAGATGCTATCTGGTGCAGGCGATATGAGCATAAGCGCCCAATCCGGCTCTCCTGCCCCTGCTCCTCCTACTGCCGCTGCTCCATCTTCTCCCGCTGCTCCTCCTGCCTCTGTTGCTCCTTCTGCTCCTCCTACCGCTGCTGCGTGCGCTGCTCCCACGGCTGCGCCTGCAGGCTGCTGCAAGTCCGCACGTGACCGCTCTGCTCCCCTCCCCATGCCCCTGCGCGCCTCCCCCTCCGTCTCTCCGCTCTCCTCTGATGGGGACGCTGTGGGGAGGACGAAAGAGGGGAGGAGCGCGGATGAGGCGTCGGGGGAGGAGAGTGAGGGGCGGAAAGAGGGGAGGTCGGAGGGAGGGCAGAGTCCCGGCGAGGATGGGCGGTTGGCTTCATGGATGGAAGCCTGCTTGACTTGCGCAGATGGCAGTGGGCGGAGTGCGGTTGAGAGGAATCTGAAAGTGCTGGGAGGGGTGGTGGCGCACGGATGCTGCTGTAGTGGGAAAGGTGGTGGTGAGGGGAAGAAGGTGGAGGAGGGAGGGAGCGGAAAAGAAGTGGGAGTGGATGGCGTGAGGAGAGGTGGCAGAGATAGCAGATGTCGTGAGGGGGAGCCTTCCGAGCTGATGCCACAGCAGCCGCAGCCGCAACAACAGAAGCAGCAGCGGCAGCAGGTACAGGTGCGAGGGCAGGGGATGGAGAAGCAGGAGGAGTTGCAGAGTGGAGGGGAGGCGAAGGAAGGATCAGTGCAGGGCGAGCAGAGGGAGGGGGTGGTGCAGCGCGAGGAGCGGCCGGGAGGAGTGAGAGCAGGGGAGGAGCAGCGCACGGGACGCATCTCTCTGAAGCTCTACGACTGGAACCCAGGGGACTTCCCCCGCCACATTCGCCACCAGGTGTGATGCCTCCTACTCCTTTGTCACCCACCCATTCAGTCATGACATTGTCATCTCATGCATGCCACGCCACCACGCCTTACATACATGCCATCTCATGCCTGGAATCGCTGGAGAGCATGATGCCATCTGATGCGATGCCACCACATGACCTCTTGCCCCCTCCCTTTACCCAAAGCCCCCTTCCCCCCAAACCCCCTTTCCCCCCTCCCTCCATGACCGCCCCCACCCCCATCCGGGAGTAGATTCTGGAATGGCTATCGAGCATGCCATCGGACTTGGAGGGGTACATTCGCCCGGGCTGCACGCACCTCACTCTCTTCGCTCGCCTGCCTGACCATGCGTGGACTCAGGTGAAACCGCCTTGCTGCAGATGAAGCCCCTTTCGGTTCACTGGTGAAGCCCGTAGGGACGCCGGACAATTCTTGAAGGAAAGAAGATAATAGAGCACTTGTTTTATGGCAACCATGTACGCTGTACCCTCCTGCTCACCTCTGCTATCGTCATTCACCTCCTGCTCTGCTGCCTGTGTTGCCACCTGTGCTTACTTGCTTATCGCTCCTCCTCTGCTCCGCCTCCCTCTTCCACCCTTTTTCCCTCTTGCCCCTCGCCGTGCTGTGCGCAACAGATGGAGAAGCACCCTTCCCCATTCCTCCACACACTGCTCCACCCCTCTCAACCACTCTCGCCCCACTTCTCGTGTTCCTCCTCCCCTTCGCCTCCCTCCCCCCTCGCGCCGCCCTCGCCTACTTGGTGGTCGGTGGGGTGCATGGCAGTGCAGCTAGGGTCGCACACCGTGCAGCAGCGCCTGCTGGTGGACCATGGTCAGTGCACGCATGGGTGCATGGGCGCATGGATGCATGGGTGCATGGGTGCACGAGTGGGGTGCACATGGGTGGATGGGTGCAGATGAGTGCATGGGTGCATGGATGCATGGGTGCACATGGGTGCATCAGTCCATGGTTGCATGAGTGCACACATGCGATACCACACCTCTCCTGTTTTTCTGCCAACGCCTGTGTCTGCTCTGTTTTGTCTGCTTTTTTACTCGCCATCCCACCCACCCTTCTGACTCACATCTCCTCTTTCCATGTGACAACCCCTTTTTAGACGCCTATAAATACACATCTCCTGATCCCGTGCCACCCTCTCTTTCACCCCACCCCACACCCTCATGTCTTTTATGCCGCGCCCGCCCTCTCGCCTCATTCCACCATTCAGGAGTCATCCGTGCCACCACACAGCTTTACCCCTCACCATCCGCCCCTCTCCTCCATCGCCCGCGGGGTCTCTTGGCACTTCCACTCTCCCCCGCGCCCTCCTGTTTGGTCCTGCGAGCGTCAAACCTGCCTGCTGCAGCAAGGTTAGACGCCACCAGGTGGGCTGTAGCCTGCCTGCCTGCCTCCCTCCCTCGTAAGCTCATGTATGGACTTGAAAGCTGTAGGACCAGCCTTCAAGCAGATGCTTGCCTTCTCTTCCTCCTCTCCCAGCTATTGTGCCTGCACCTTCAGTTCTACGCCTTATCCTCCCTCCGCCTTCTCCTAACCCCTCCTTTTTCCCCACCTCGCTGCTTCCTTCCTTCCCTCTGCCTGTGCTGCTCTGCGATCAATCAGGTTGCTCTGCTCTCTCGCCGGACGTTACCTTGTTAACGCTGCCACCGACTCGCACACACATGCAACACAAGCGCACCATGGGGCCATGCTTAGCCATGCAGATGAGAGGGGGAAGATCCTGGACAAGGGACAGCTGGCGGGAGAGGAGGAGGAGGGGGAGGAGGAGGAGGAGGAGGAGGAGGAGGAGGAGGAGGAGGAGGAGGAGGAGGAGGAGGAGGAGGAGGAGGAGGAGGAGGAGGAGGAGGAGGAGGAGGAGGAGGAGGAGGAAGCGGAAGAGGAGGAGGAGGAGGAGGGAGCAGAGGAGATTTCTTTGGTAGTTCCTCCTCTGAGCACGTGGGGCACGCTTCGTGTTGAGGTATGGCAGGGAGTGGGTTCTGGCTCATCAGAAAGCACACAGCACCCTGCCTCTTTCCGACTGCCAACATCACTACCCTACCACCATCATCTGCCCATGCTGCTTCCTTCTCCCTGTGTCCCTCAAGGCAGCAAACAGCACTCTTTTCCTTGGCCCCTCAGTTCCTTTCCCTCGTCCTGTCTTCACGTCCCACTCATCCCCTCTTCCTGTTGTCCGTGGCAGGTGGAAACGTCAGCTGGGTTGTCTCAGCCGCTGCCCCTGCTCGTGGCCCCTGCACCCATCTGCACCGAACTGCACTCCCTTCTCTCGCCCTCCGCCTCGCCACCCTCCCTCCTCGGCCTTCCTCCCCATGCATCCCCTCCCTCGTCCACCCCTTCACATGGAGCAGCAGCAGCAGCGGCAGCAGCAGCGGCAGTGTTCACTGACATGTCTCGGCTTGCAGAGATGCTCACATGGGGTGGTGTGTGTCGCTGCCACGACTGTAAATGCGGTCTTGGCTCATGTACTACTGATGTAACTGCCACCCCTGCTGCTGGCCCTGCTGCCGCCCCTGCCGCTTCTGCTGCTGACTCTGAGTTGCTTGTAGGAAGAAATAGAGTGCCTTGTGGTGGGAGCAGGCATGTGGGCAGTGCAAGGGAGAGCAGCCATGCAGGGGAGGGGAATGTGGAGGAAGGTGATGAGGTGATGAGGGATGGGGCCAGTGAGATGGATACGGGGGAGCAGCAGGAGCAGGAGCAGCAGCGGGAGGAGGAGGATCAGGAGCAGCAAAGGCAGGAGCAGGAGGAGGAGGCGGTGGTGAGTGAGTGGGTGGAGGACATGGGATGGGTGCTACGCAAGCTCACCCTGCCCTTGCATCAAGCATCCGCGGCCGTGATGAATGTGCAGCATGAGGTGACTCGCATGCACCGCCTGCTCTCCCATGCGGTCACCCAAGGGCTGCTCGCAACGTCCTCTGCTCTGCTGCACTGGACTGCCCGCCTCGCCATCATTGCTGCTGCTGCCCATGCCACTTCGCCGCCCTCCTCTGTGCCCCCTCCTGCTGCTGCTAATGTCGCCGCCACAGCTTCCGGTGCTGGTGCTACCGCTGGTGCTGCTGGTGCTACAGTGGCTGCTGCTCGTGCGAGCAGGGAGGCAATGGAGGGCGTTGTGAGGGCGGTGGGGTGGGAGGAAGCGAGTGGGTGGTCTCTGCTGCACGTGGCAGTGGCGCAGGGGAATGAACCGCTGGTGGCCCTGCTGCTGAGGTTTGGCCGGGGAGACATGGGCCGCCGCAGAGAGCACAGAACGACCAGCAGCACTGTTGAAGGCATTGAGAGCAGCACTAGCGGTTCTGGAGGCTCATTATTCGCAGTTGGCGTGGAGCAAATGCTGCTGCGTGTAACGTCCGACCCAACAGCAGCAGCATCACATGCACCACCGCCGCTCCACCACCGACCTTCCTCCACCTACTCCTCCTCCTCATCCGTCCAGCCATGCTCTATCGCAACGAATCCCCCCTGGTGGTCGCCAGTGGCAGCAGGGCCGGGAGGGGTGACGGCCCTGCACGTGGCTGCATGCCTGGCGGCTCTGCCCCCGGCCAACTCGTGTGGGTGCGGGCAGCTGAGGCTCACTGACGCACAGAGGGCTGCGGCAACAAGGATTGCTGCCCTGCTGCAGGCGTACCTTCACCCCCATGAGGTGCCCATTTCCCCGTCCTCCCCTTCCTTCTCATTCCCCAACATCCTCCCCATTCCCCCCATCCTTCCCATCCTCCCCACCCTCATCCGCCCCAACCCATCCCTCTATCCTCCCATCTTTTCCCCACTCTCTATCCCTCTGTCCTCACCCACTCCCATCAATCCATCACCGTTCTCTTCATTCCCAGTCACCGAAACCCACCTACCTCTGTGATTGTCCTTCCTTCTCTTTTTTCCTCACCCACGTTCTCCACCTCACCTGCTCATGTGGCCCCTCCTCTCTTTCTTTCGTCTCTCTTCCTTTCGCCTTTTATGTCTTGTCTGCCTTTCTGTCTGTTTGTAAATCGTGACCCTGTGAATAATGCGTGCTGCATGGTTGGTTGTGTAAATCTGTGAATCTGTGCATTGCAGGCTGTCTGGTGGGGCACAAACGCATCTATCTTCACCCAACAACCAGCAGCAGCCTCATCGCACGGCGAAACGCCCTCCCGATGTGGCTGTGCCTGTGCGTCCACTCTCCTCCCACACACGTCCCCATCCCCATCACCAACTCCATCCACCTCCCCCTCCTCACTCCCCCATCTCTCCTCCCCCCAAGCCTGCTGCTGCTCATCAACCCCCCTCACCCCACCTCCTCTCGCCTCCTCCTGCTGCGCTCCTCCTGGAAAAGCCGCTGCATCGCATCTGCCCTTCTTGCAGCCTCATCACTCTCCCACAGAAGAGTCATCGGCACAGCACAAGGAAGAACCCATGGGAGCAGCAGAGTCCATGTGTATGGTTCAGCACACAGCAGAGCAAGCTGCGCCCAAGCTCCTGTCTGCTATGCCTCCTAGGGGTTGCTGTGGGCCTGCTAGAGACCAGGCAGCAGCAGCAGAGAGCGACAGTGGGGGTATTCCCCAGGAAGGAACCGTTCAGCCGTGCTGCAGCAAAGGCCGCAGCATCAGCAGCGATGGAGAAGACTTATTTCAAGTGGTCACAGCAGCACAATTGGTACAGAATACCTGTGCGGAAGCAGTGGCAAGTGCGGGGTGGAAGGAGAGAGCTTGTAAGAAGCGGAGGACAGAGAGAGGGGCAGGGCGATGGGGCTTCCGGGGAGTGAGCAGGACATTGCTGCCTGTGCTGGCAGTGGGTCTGGTGACGTGTGCGTCTCTCACCTTCTGCCAGGCACACTCATTACCCTCCACTGCCTCTGCTGCGAGCACTGCTGGAGCAGCAGCAGTCACGCATGTGCGGCAATGTCTCTCTGCCCGTGATGTCCTGCTTGTCATGAGCTGCTTCGTTTGTTCTTTGCTGCAGCAGCAGTCCGAGATTATCGTTATGGTGGCTGCACTCATGGTCGTCTCCCTCTCTCATCTAGTGTTTTGAGTCACACATGTAGCTATGCTGCTTTCTGTTTTACTGCATGGGTGATCCCATCGCTGTGTTTCTAACTAATCCTGTTTTTTGGTACCGTATGTCTCAGCAGATGTATTGAACTTGATAACTGTCATAGTGCTACTTTCCCCGAGATGTTTCAATCAATAGTGATGTAATAAGTAAGGGTGCATTCCTGTGTGGACATTTGTGTCTCAATCCTTTTGTGACGCGTAAAAACAGCATAAAATGTAGTATGTCACAAACGGAATCGCCCTCTAGCGACCATTATTGCATTTTTCATTGGTCAGTGTGAAACGCGCTGATGTCGCGGACGAGTTGCAAATTGACTCGTCACTGGTAAAAAGTCGCACGCGATTCGAAATGTCAATGCACCTGAACACCCCCAAAAGCCAATTTCGCGCGGGAAACAAATCCCGCGCGTCGAAATTACACCCCAGCCAGGCGTTTGAAGAAAAGGGTGTACAATCATTTCCGAAAAGTGTCGGTGCGTAGAAACAGTGACGGGTCAGCAGTAGAAGGCGAGAACCCAAGTGCCGCAAGAGTAGTCCTCAGCGTGTCGTGCCACTCACGTGGCGCCTGGCGGAGACCGTAGACCGGCCGCCGGAGGCTCCACTGGGTACCAGGAGGAAACGACCCAGTGAAGCCAGGAGGGCGGCGCAGCCAGATCTCCTCGTGCAGACTGCCCTGCAAGAAAGCAGTGCTGAAGTCCAGAGAGTGAAGCTCCTAGTCGCGCTGAGCAGCAACGTGCAATAGTACCCGAAGAGTGGTCATCTTCGGGGTGGGGGAGAAGGTCTGAAAGTAGTCAACTCCCTCTCGCTGACTGAAGCCTCGAGCAACGTAACGAGCCTTGAAGACAGGCGGAGAACCCGGCGGCCGCTTCACCCTGAAAATCCACATGCCACTGACGATGTTCGCCCCAGGTGGGGGAACCTCGTCGACGTAGGTGCCTGTGGACTTCCAGGAGGCCATCTCTACGTCCATGGCAGATTGCCACTGTGAGGAGTAGGGACCCTCGATCGCCTCAGCGTACGATCGAGGAGTCGGGATGTCTGGTGCATCCGGGTCTCCCTCAGGGGCAACTAGCATGGACACGAGATGGGGCGCAGCGGCTGCAAGACACTCAAGATCCTCCTGTCGGTCCTCAAGGACGTCCGTGCTAAGAGCACACTCACCCCCGACAGACGGAGGACAGACAGACTCAGACTCAGCGACAAGACTGGCAGCGTAGTCTAGACGACAGCGAGCAGCAAAGTCGACAAGCTCAGCAACTAGGGCAGACGCAGCAGCAGACTCAAACGAAGAGTCAGTGACAGCAGTGGCCAGGAGGCGCGTGATAGTAGGACTGGCAGCACGAAGAGAGTCAAACTCAGGGTCAGCAAGAGCAGGAAGAGAGGACTCAGGAGGAGACGGCAAAGGGACACGCTGTGGAGCAGTGGAGGGATGCAGTGACATCCGGTGTGTGCCAGGGACTGGTGGCGGACGCTCACGCAGAGTACGGCAACTGGTGGAAGTAGTACGAACAGGTGACTCAGGACGGGACACAGGCGACACAGGGCGAGACTCAGGCTCACGACGCTCCGTAAGACCGCCTGTAGGACCAGTGTAGGGAGAAGGATGAGGAAGTGGCGAGGCAGGTGGTAGCTGTGACTGCGACTGGACCGGCGGTGGACACTCTACATAGGGAGGGGGACCAGGTGGAGGTGACTGACCAAGAACCTGCTGAAGGAGTGAAACAAAGTAAGGCTGCGGCCGCGAGGTGCCTTCTGCAGCATCAGAGACAGCACCAGAACCTCCAGCAGCTCCAGCAGCACCCCCAGCACCGCCAGGACTAGCAGCTCCAGCAGCTCCAACGCCCGGGTCCGCAGCACCAGCAGCAGCCCCAACTCCAGGGTCCGCAACACCAGCAGCAGCTCCAACTCCCGGGTCCGCAGCACCAGTAGCAACCCCAACCCCAGGGTCCGCAGCACCAGCGGCAGCCCCAACTCAGGGTCCGCAACACCAGCAGCAGCTCCAACTCCCGGGTCCGCAGCACCAGTAGCAACCCCAACTTCAGGGTTCGCAACACCAGCAGCAGCTCCAACGCCCGGGTCCGCAGCAGCAGCAGTTGCTCCAACTCCAGGGTCCGCAGCACCAGTAGCAGGGTCCGCGACACTAGGAGCGCCACTCCTGAGACTGGAGCGCCGTGCGTACCACTCACGAAGTCGCCGGGGAGAGGGCAGCTCCCGCCTAGGAGAGGAAGCACGAGCACCAGCTCCAGCAGCACTCCTAGCTCCAGAAGCACCTCTCCTGAGGCTGCAGTACTGTAAGTACCACTCACGCAGCTGCTGTGAGGAGAGAGCTCCTCCTGGCGTAGCACTCCCAGGCTCAGCACCCCTAGACTCAGCACAAGCAGGCTCCGTACTCCCAGGCTCAGCACCCCCGGACTCCGCACCCCCAGTCTCCGCAACCCCAGGCTCCGCACGCTCAGGCTCAGCACCCCGAGCAGGACGAGAGTCGACAGCTACCTCGACAGGCTCAATCGGGTCTACCTTGGACACACCTGAGGGAGCGGCACCCTGAGGGGGGAGGGGGTCTACCACAGCAGCACCTGGCGCGAGGAAGAGAGGCGGGGGAGGGAGCGGGGCAGTGCCGTAGGGGAAGAAGCGGTAGAAGGGTACAGACTCGTCAAAGGTGACGTCCTGAGAGGCGAGGACACGGCGCGAGGTGGGGTGGTAAAAGTGCCAACCAGACGCGTGCGAAACAAAGCCTAGGAAGACACACGGAACAGCGCGGGAGGAGAGCTTGTCCGCGGACGTATCGCGAACAAAAGCTCGGGATCCCCAGACCCGAAAACGCGACGCATCGCCAACCTCTCCCGTCCAACGCAGTGTCGGGGAGGTCTCCGGCAAGGAGACACGGGGCCAGAGGTTGAGCTGATACGCAGCGTATTGGACCGCAAACGGCCACAGAAAGTGGGGGGCAGCCGCATGGATCAAGGAGGTACGAGCGACCTCCATGACCAAGCCAATGCGGCGCTCAGCAACCCCATTCTGCTGTGGAGTGGCCGGAAGCGTGAACGACTGGCGGATGCCGTGCTCCGCACTGTAGGCTGCCAAGAGGTCGGAAGAGAACTCACCACCTCTGTCAGAGTGCAAGCGCAGGACAGGAAAGTCCGAGTGGAAACGCTCGCTGAGCTGAAGACGAGAAGCGCGGATCCAAGGGATCAAAACATCAGGGACCTCACCCTTGGTGCGCAAGGGGAAGACCGTGGTGTAGCGCGAGTAGTCGTCAACAACTATCCAGAAGTACCTCTCCTGACCCTGACCACGGACGCGGGCGGGGCCCCACACGTCCATCTAGAGCGTCTGCAAGGGAGCAGTCGTCGGGGGAAACGAGGAGGATTGAGGAGCAGCGCGCTGCAGCCCCTTGACACAGTGAAGACAGGGAGGAGCAGGCGAGGGTGGGAGGGGAGGGAGAACTCTGGGAAGACCAGAGACAAGGTACCGTTTGTGCATTTCCCGAAGGCGCTGCACGGACGGGTGACCAAGTCGGTGGTGCCAAAGGACGGTCTCGTGCGCCAGAGAGCGGCACGAGCAGGGGGCCGACAGCTGACCTGACGCAGACGCAGACGCAGCTACCTGAGGGGACTCAGTAGTCAGTGTGTACAGGTCCGACCCCGAGTGCCGTGTGAAGGTCGTCAGGTGACGGCCCGTCCGAGCACACATGCAGTGTGTCACGCGCTCGTAGGCAGGTGTGAACTGGTGGACACCCCTGTCCTGGAGCGCGAAACCCGCCACCAAGTTCGTAGAGAACGAGGGGAGGTAGAGACCGGACAGTGTGCCCGACGGGACGGCCGGACAGGGGAGGACAGTGGAGGAGGTCGCAAGGACTGGACCCCCAGAGGGGTCAGCGAGAGAGACTGCAACGGGCCGAGCAAGCTGCTCAAGAGCCGTGCGGTCACGAAAGAAACAACGGGAGGCACCTGAGTCTAGTGTAAAGGTGTGCAGTGCCTCAGTCGACTCAGTACCAGGGGGCGCAGACGCACCAGCACCTAGAGCAGCAGCCTCACCAGCACCTGGGGTAGCAGACACTCTAGCACCTAGAGCGGCAGCCTCACCGGTTCGAATGCCCGGGTCGGGCGGAACACGCAAGTACTGGGCACCCTCTCCACTAATAGACATCACATACATGGCAGTGAGAATAGCATCAAAGTCTAGAGCAAAGATATCAATGTTTTGCTTCATCAGATCAACCCAGCGGGGCAGCTCAGTGGCGTCAGGGAACTGAGTACGCCAAGCGTCGTCGAGGCGTGAGAAGCAGCGCTGCGTGGGGTGCGCCCTCCCACACGTCTGACCAGTGCAGTCACCAGTGCGGATGACGTACGTGCAGCTAAGGCCACCCCCCCCCCCCCCCCACCCGTGCTGAGCGTACCACTCACGGAGCTCCTGGGGCGACGGAGAGTGCTGCAGGCTCTGGCCACCGCCAGTGCCTCCACGACCACCACCGCCGCCGCCACCTCCTCGACCACCTCCTCCCCTGCCGCTCCCGCGTCCACCGCCGCCCCCACCACCGCCCCCGCCCCTGCCACCTCCCCCGCCGCTGCCGCCACCACCCCCACCGCTGCCACTAGCCCCACCAGTCCCACCACCACCCCCACCGCCGCCACCACCCCCACCACCGCCTCCCCCGCCGTCACCTCCGCTTCCCTTGCCCCCTTTTCCCTCGCCGCTGCGGCGCCCGCTCGAAGCAGACGCAGCCCCGACCTTCTCAGAACCAAGGAGGTCGACAGTAGAAGCAGAGGCTACAGAGGGAAGAAGGGGGGAAGGGGAACACCCCTCAAAGAACGGGGTGCGGGGGTCGCCACGAGAGGCACCTACAGCGACTATGCTAACCTCAGCTGCAAGGAGTTCCTTCTCGAGGAGGGCAATGGTGAGCTCAGTGGGGCAGTTAGCTAGGAAGTGATCCCTGACAGCACGCAGAGTGTCAGGGAGGCGGGTGACTAGGTGGTA